CATACTACTTATACATACGTATATACATTATATACATACATACTATACACTACGTAATTAATATAGACTACTCTGATATCATACGATTAATTAGACTTTAACATCACTATATACGTATAATACAATACAAGTAATACTATAACATCGTAGACTAATACATATACTATACTATCATACGTAATACTGTATACACTACTATATATATAATATACATAGTATATACTATACATACTACTTACATACGTATATACATATAGCACATTACTACTATAACATACGTATATACATTAGACATACTCACTAATACATACGTATATACAGGCTTATACACATACAGGCGTACATACGTATATACAGGTTTATACACATACAGGTATACATACGTATATACATATACACATACATGCTATACATACGTATATATCTATATACTATATAGACATACTACTATTATCATACGTATATACATGTAGACGATACTACTATACATACGTAATACATATATACAGTACATACTATACATACGTATATATCTATATACACATAGCACATACTGCTATACATACGTTGGAAGCAACACATGCTGGCATACGCTCGCATTGGAATTGTCTCTCGTTTATTTGCTCCTGATCAGAGATTTTAGCTGCGAGCGCATGTCACTGTGGACTAAGCCGCAACGTGGACTTCCGGCATTTAGGAAGTGATTCGATAAATGCTGTGCTGCCGCATGCACGCTCGTGGCGTAGAGCCATGCTAAATTGGTCTCGCTCGCTGTTTTTCTCTCTCGTTTTCGTCTCCGCTGCAACGTTTTTGTCTTTCTCGTTCTCGTTCTCGTTCTCGTTCGCTTTTTTCTTTGTCTTTCTCGTTCTCTGTCTCTTTCCTTTCTCTTTCGTCTTTTCTTTTTCTTTCTCTTTCGTCTTTTCTTCTTCATTCTTTTTCGCTCATTTTTCTTTCTCTTTCGCTTTTTTGTTTCTCCTTCTCTTTCTCTTTCTCTTTCGCCCTTTTCTTTCTCCTTTTCTCTTCTCTGTGCATCTTCTCATCCCTCTTTTACGCAACACACACACACACGCGCGCGCGCAGCACACGCACACGCCACACGCACCACGCACCCACGCACGCACGCACACGCACACGCACACACCACACCACACACCACACACACAGACACACACACACATCCCCCCA